ATTATTTAATAAAATTTTCATACTTTTTGGAACCTTTTTTGCATCTATATAAGTGATCTTTTAATCGAGCGACTAAATCCATAAAGTCTTCTCCACAGTAGTTACACTTTTAGCGTGGCGTAGTTTGACCAAGTTTGTCAGTTTCCGTAACTTTTGTAAAGTTCAAGCGAATTTCTTTTAATGGAGGTCTCCCACGGAGCGAGCATGACTGTTTATAGTTTTGTCGTATCTAAAGTTACCATCTATCTGAAGTTGCAACTTTAAATATATAAAGTTGATCTGACTAAAATTAAGCCCTGAAATTAGATCTTAATACAAATAATTCTGGTTAGATGCAACTTTATATATCTAAAGTTGCAACTTCAGATAGATAGTAACTTTAGATACGACACACCGACAATCATTTCACTGAAAGTTCATTTAGCCGACATCACATAGGGTTAGGATTAGTGTTTTATTAGTTGCAGGCACATATTTTTAGTAAATTGTTACCTGACGTGATGTCGGCTAAGTGAGCTGTCGTTTAAAGATTGTCGGTGAAGTAAGGCGTGTCATATATATCTTCTGGATAATATCAATATTGGGCATACGACAAATAACAGGAAATTTTTTTCATCGTCTGCCCAATATTGTATACTTATTTCCGCAAATTTTATTAAAATCACAATAATTCATAATTGATGTTCTATTTTATAAGCTAAATCTAAGTTTACAAATTTATGAAAATCTTCAAATTTATAAGAGCGTAAGTCGGACAATATTACGATAATGGTATGAAGATAATTCGCTTCGTTACAAATACGATTTGTAAATATAAATATTTGAACATTTTATTTCATACATATAATATATGGTTTGCAAATATTATAATGGAAAATTTTTACATATTGAACTCATTATTAGTATGTTAATTATTCTATTAGTCTTTAAAAGATTGTGAAGTTCGTACTGTTTAGAAATTTGTGATAAGTAAAAAATTTCTAAAAAAAAAAAATCAGTTTAATATTATAACGCATAAAATACGTGCCTTAGAACAACGCAATTAGGTCCATAATACGTATTCGCCCAACTCCTAGCAAGGAAAGTAGCAGGGAGAATTATATTCGAGGGTGAATATATAGTAATGTCCGCGCTTGCATAATTATTCTTCATTTCAGCTTTACCATTCCATAAATAAGCTACTAGTTTTCCATCAGGCAGGCTAAAAAGTTCAAAATCCGAGACCTGTGCAATCTTTTCAGATTGAGTTGTCCATTCACATTTAATTATACTATCATTTTTATAAGAAAGTAGACCGTTGTATTTCTCCTGTGGTAAAGAAATTTTGAGTCCTTGATGAAAGGCAGTGGTTAAGTAAAGATGAATTGCGAAAGAAAATATTGCTTAGGAGAAAAAACTAAATTTATTACCTCCACAAATATCTGAACTGTTGTAACGCTTTGTAAGTCCTGTAAAACAGTATTTATGAGATATTAATGTTTGTTGTGCTTGTCAATAAAAGCTTTTTCACTCCTTAAATACCTTTAATTTTGGGTGCAGCGATAGTATTAACTCCACAAAAAGTATACGATAATGAGATTAGGAGTAAAGCAATAAAAGTGGATTTTACGTTCAAAACCATTATTTTTACTTTATATGAAAATAATATTCACTACAATACAAAGATATTCTTTTGAAAAATGTATCCAATTTTATTATTTTTCTATTGATGATCTTGCACTTTTTACAGCTCTTTTTTCAAAGTTTGTGAAAAACGATTTTCCGCAACTTTATGAAAACGGTTGTAATTTGCCTGTGTAATTTACATATTACAAAATTTTATCCGTCTATCACTTTTAACAATTTAGTTAGGGATCGCGATTATCCGATCATTAATAAACTAATTGTTCACCTCAATATTACTCAAGAAGCAAGCTTTTATATTTCACAGGTCAAATCTATAATATTTCTGAGAGATACCAGCATACTGTGATGACCAAAAAAGGACTGCGACTCGGTCGCTCCACAATCCAAAAACTCGTGTAACCTGGGTAAGTAACCTTTC